ATGTGTCATTTTCATTCTAAAATAAAATATACACTAAGATCATTGATAGTCTTAGGATCTCTGGGCAATAAGTAATATTTCATCATATTTATCTTTTAACAACTAGAAGAAACAGTGTTTTTCAGTGTTAGGTAGGAAATGGTATTTTTAGAAATTCTTAAAAGTACTGTGCATTAAAGTGGTTATTTTCTTATTTTTGTATTGTGAATACTCAAATGTAGCCTAATGAATATTCATCACTTGTATATATACAATATACTACACATAAACATCTTAAATCATTGCCTTTTTCAATTTTTGTCTTAAAAAACATGTACTAATTAATTAATTAGTTTATTTATTTTGAGACAAGGTTTGGCTCTGTTGCTCAGGCTGGGCAGTGGCATGGCTCACTGCAGCCTCCACCTCCTAAGCTCAAGCATCCTCCCACCTCAGCCTCCCAAGTAGCTGGTATTACAAGGCACATGCCACCACAGCTGGCTAATTTTTTGTATTTTTAGTAGAGATGGGGTTTCACCACATTGCTCACTCTGGTCTCAAACTCCTGACCTCAAGAAATCTGCCTGCCCTGGCTTCCCAAAGTGCTGGGATTACAGGCATGAGCCATCGCACCTGGCCAGTATTTTTTCTTTCTAAAAGAAATTCTACTTCTTAATTTTCTTCCAGAGACACACACACACACACACACACACACACACACACACACACAGACACACACAAATCCACTTCTAAAAATGCTGTCCTTTAGACTTTAAAAAGTCTCAGGAGAAACGTGAGAGATACTGTCAGAAGAACATAATGAGGCCCATCTGTGAGGAGAGATGCTCTGGGGCTCCGATCTCCAAGGGAGATGTCAAAGTCACTTGCTTTCAAAGCACTCATGAACAGAAACAAAGCCTGTGGCCGAAAACCTGGCCATGTCCCTTTCCCTTGCAGCCTAGAAGTCCAGAACAAAAACTCATTTTTGTTTCAACATAAAATGTTTAAAAAACTTCCTCTCTATTACAACTAGAGGTGAATGAGCTTTACCTTCCAATAAAAGTACAGGAATTAAAAAGAACTCTTTCTAGGGTATGGAAAATTTAGTTTGCATATAAGAGTGATTAGTCATTTAGACTCTCACTGCTTACGTACTTGGTCCCTGCAGTGACCTTTACTCATTTATCTGGCCCTACCTGTCATTCTGAAGTTTTTCATTTGAATAATAAGATAGCTAGGAATGATGGGTGTGGAAAATTGTATTTTCCAAATTTGGCCAGTCCCCTGTCAAGAAGTGGAGCGAATTCCCCTTTCCTTTGAGCTTGAGCTGGTCTTATGACTTGCCTGTAACTAACAGAATATAGTGAAGTGAGACTGGATACCTTCCAAAGCCAGATCAGGAAAGGCCATAGAGCTTTTACTTGGCTACCATGTTGAAGAGGCCACGTACAGGTAGTTTGGTGGACAGCCAGAGTTGAGCTCAGCCTCTGAGCCATCCCTACCAGGACATCAGACATGTTAGAGAGGCTATCTTGGACCCTCCAAGGTAAACTATTTGTCAGCTGAATAACACTGGTGACCCCAGTCAACCTCACGAAGAGTGGAAGAATCACCTAGCTGAGCCCTGACTAAATCCCCAACCTACAAAATCTGTAAGGTATAAAATATTGGCTTTTTTTCAACCACTAAGTTTTGGGGAAGGTCACTGCACAGAAATGGTGACTAGAGCAGGGTCAACTAGGAGCCACTAAATGAGAGGTGACTGACCAAAAGCCCACAACTGAAAGGAAAGGAGGATGGAAGAAACCTTGCACCAGGTGCAGAATGCAGGACGATTTCTGGCAAGATGGCTTACCAGATGCCTTGACTAACTCTTCTACTTAAAAACAATTAAAATGCTAAACATAGCATCTAAACACTGCTTTAAATGTACGAAACCGCTGAGAAAAGAGTAAAAAATCCTTTGACAAGAATGAGGAAAAATGTATCATGCCCAGCGAAATACGGTAAGTGAACAACAAAACTGGCTTTGACCTTGAGGGCATTTGTGTTAGATCTAGTGACTTTTAGCAGTCATCTTTATGACTTGGTGAAATTCAGAAGACAGACAAAACCCACCCAGGTCTAATAAATAATTCTCTCTCCGTAAGTTGGGGACCAAATGGGATACTCACAGTGTAAGGGTAAGCTAGACTATCTGAACCTTCAATGACAAACAAAAAATTACAAGTTGGTGCTTAGAAAGGGGATAGGCAGGGAGGAATGAAATGTACCCTGAACATTTTAAGCCATGAGTTAGATATCATAGAGATCTCCTGCTTTAATTCATAGTACTAAGGTAGTCTAAAATAATTCATTTGGATAATCTAGTTTAAATTATATTTGATAAAACAAACTTTACAACAGAAAGCATTTCTTGAGATAGAGTAGCATAATAAAAGTTTCATCAAGAAAATGTAGGCATTCTAAGCACGTATATCTAATGATACACCTCACAATAAACAAAGCAAAGCTGAAAGAATTATAAGGAGAAGTAAAAAAAATACACATAGTGGGAGATTTAACATGTCTTGTTTGTTATCTGATGGATCAAACAGACTAAAAAATAACTAAGGCCACAGAAATCTGAATAGAACCAACAAGATTGGTTTGACAGGAAAATTTGCACACCCTCAAACTGTAGAGCGCATATTGTTTTCAAGGTTAGATGAGACATTTATAATTACCAACTACAGACTTTAAAAATCCCAATACTTAAGGCCACATCCCAGACCAATGAGATCAGGATCTCCAGAGATACGACCCAGGCATCCACCTTCTTAAAGATCTGTAGGGGATTCCAACGTGTAGCCAAGGTTGCAAATTGCTGACACAGAGTCATTTCTAACCTTCAGTGCTTGTATCAGAAAGGAAGGAAAGATGGAAATGAATGATCTGGAGAGCAGACTATCTTAGGTTAGAACGGAACAGCCAATAAAGCCCCAAAAATTAGGAGGAAGAAGAGAAAAGAGCAAATAATAACATAGAAAACAAACATAACACAGATGACCAAGAAAACTGAAAGCATATCTTACACCTTCCCAAAAAAACAATTCCATGTAAATAAAAAGTTAAATGTCAAAAGCAAAACTATAAACATTTTATAAGACAGTGTATGAGAATATATCATTTCGGTATGCAAAGAATTTTTAAAAACAGAAACAAAATCATAAGCCATAAAGAAAAAGGACGATAAATTCAACTGTATTAAGTTTAAGAATCTTGTTAAATCAGTATTTGTAATGTATATCTATTTAACTGGAATATATGAAGAACTCCTGCGAATCAGAAGAAATTGACAACCCAAAAGAAAATGGGCAAAAGGCACTTCAGTGGAGTGGAATCCAAATGCCCAACAGGCATATGAAAATATGCTCAACCTCATTCATAATAAGTAAAAGCACAATGAGCTATGGCTTCCTAGCTTCCTCAGCCAGGGCTCTCCCTCCCGTCCTCAAGGGACTGCTCTTTGCCTCTTCCCCTTAAGTACAGACTTCCTACTCCATGATTTTGCCCACTCTATTAGTTACTGACTTTTCCTCCTGTATGTTCAACCTCTCCCTTTCTTTTGACTCTTTCACAGCATAAAAAATTGCTCAAGTATTTCCCATAAGTTTAAAAAATATCACTCCTTTGATACCCTATCTCAGCTTCCAAATTTATGCACCCAAACTCATGAACCTTCACCATTACCAGCCATATGTTGAACGACTGCCTTATCATAGCCCAAACTCTCAGGATTCTGTTTGATCCCGTTGTTTCCACCACAGGCTTCCACGCTTCAGGCCACCAAAATACTGCCTCTCACCATGTCACTGCACACACGTGGCCGTCCTCCCTGACACAGTCCTTCTAGGCTGCTGTGCTACCAGTTTCTCCTCTTTCCTCACGTCACAGATATTTCTTTTCAATATTCTTCTGCTGCTTCTTCCTGAAAAGTCCCTGGAGTGCTTTTCTCAGCCTCCTTCTCTTCTATTCTTGTTTTGAACATTCTTCCTTTGTGATCTTATTCCTTCTTACTTTTCATGTCTACTTATGAGCTAAGGATTTCTGAATCTATATCTCCAGTATGTGCTTGACACATAGTAGGTACTCTGAATCATGAAGCTTCCTATTAAAAAGAGTCAGCGCAGAGTGTGATTACATGTGAGTAAATGCCTAATTTTAGCTAAGATGCTGCATGTCTAAGCAAAAGTACTTACAATTAAAAAAAAAAAAAAGACTGGGTAGAGCATGAGTTTATTCAATACCAGATTTTGCTAAGAGAGAAAAATTAGAACAATTTAAAAATGGTTGGCACAAATCTTTGCCTATGGAACCATGGTACTCATAAGGCAAAAGTCTTTCAACATTGATAGAACCCACTGTATATTTCATTTTTCATGAATTGTGCACAATGATTTAGATTAGGGATTGGTAAATCATGACTTACAGGCCAAATCTGGCCCACCATTTGTTTTTGTAGATAAAGTTTTATTGGAACATATACATATCCACTCAATTACACATTGTCTGTGGCTGTTTTCATGCTACAGTGGCAGAACTGGGCAGTTGCAACAAAGATTCCATGGCCCATACAGCCGAAACCATTTTCTGTCTTGTCATTTCTATTAAAAATGTGTCAGACTTGAAAAAGATCAAATCTTTCTATTGTTAACATGTCCCTTTAAAATGTTAAGTTGTGTAAGTTATATTTTCTAAAGGAAGGGTAAATACTAGATGTGTGAAAGCCCTCCCCATCTAGGTATAAAAGCAGTAGGTTATATAATAAATAAGAACTACTTTTCTCTGAGACTTAGTTGAAAGAACTACATTGATATTATTAAATGTATCAATTAAGTGGCGTAAATAATCAGAGGCAGAATACTGTTGTAATATTTGGTAAGATCTCATCCCCTAGGATGACTTAAGTAGGAGGAATGTGGGTATTGGAGCTTCCAGAAAAGTAATACAATCAACACAAAAGCCACTGGGATTCTTGCCTTGTCTGCCGGTGTTAACCTGGCCCAGGGCTTGTCTGCTCGGCGGTCATAGTCGGGAGAATCTGTGACTTCTACATACTCGTTAAATCGCAGGATCCTTCGAGCTTGTAGCTCTGCCACCGTAGGTCTCAGGCTGAGCTGCAGGAGGACAAGGAAAAAGGCAGAATTCAGTAAACCACTTACAGCCGCATGGTGGCAAGTTTTCTATAGAGAACACTTCAAAGTTGTGGTTAAATAAGGTCACTTTCAGGTTAACGACAAAAAAAAAAAAAAAAAAAAAAAAAAAGAAAAAAAAAGGCAACAGCATCTTGGGAATTTTTAATGAGAACTAGAAAGCAGTGTGCCCTAATTTTTGAGACTATAAAAAGTCATCATTTTAGGTAGGTCACATTCTTTGGCAACCATCTGTATTATGCTCTTTCCCCCAACTTGCCTGGCACTGTGATAAAGGTCTGTCATCTCTGACACAAGGAACATGCAGTGCACAGACACAATAGTAACCCGGATAAGGAATGGCTGGTTTGGTGATTGAATTAGCAAGACAGAAGTCACGGAATTTTTAGAAATGGAAATAAAAACCTGTTCCTATAATATTAAGCCCATACATTCAGAAATGAACAAAGTTATGACATAGAAAGGGTCCAATAAAGGGTACGCCTATAGCACCGCTGTCCTTAAGATATTCATAATAAGGATAAGGCCCCAATCAGACACATGCCCTTGGCCAGAAAAGCCAATGTACAAGAATGGGGAGGGGAGAGTTGATGGAGAACGGTACTTCCTTGAGGCCATCACTGCTTAAAATCAACTCCAACCTCGAAGATACTTCTAACGACTTGGGTTCCTTTTTGAGGTCTTTGTCAAATTCAGATTTGTAACTATATTGCTTTTCTCTCTGAGTCCGTTCTCAAACTCAAGAATAAGACTGAAATGATTCTAACAGGTGAAAGAAAGCTGGCCCCTGGTAAACATGCATCATCTACTCTCTGCTACTGAGGTTCACTCTCTTTTTGGCTTTTCTTAGTTGGGTGGTATCATAGTTATGTCCAGAGAGGTAGACTTAGACCTCTATGTTAGCCATAGGGCCCATTTTCATATCTTTTCTCTTATATGTACTCTGTATACAGCCAGACTACCCATCATCTAAGTGGTCCTCCTTGGAGTAATCGCTTATTTATTTATTTATTTATTTAAACAAAGTGGGGAATCTCTCTATGTTGCCCATGTTGGTCTTGAACTCCTGCGCTGAAGCAATTATCCCATCTCAGCCTCCCAAAGTGCTGGGGTTTCAGGTATAAGCCGCTGCATCTGTCCAGAAATATTCCTTATTTTGCACTGGGTCTACATCCTGTAGTCATTAACACCCCTTTCCTGTCAATTTCCTCCTGAACTAAGCCAATATTCGAATGTTCAAAGCACCCGAGGACTTTTAGAAGGCCTAGACCCATACCCTGAGCCCACTTGAGCTGGAATGTCCCAATGATGGCTCCCTTTATCTTCATAGAGCCCTGGTAGGCAATGGACCAGAGAGAGAATAATCTAATGATCTGTTATACTGTAGTTGCTGCCCAATCTATATCACTAGTTTCTTGTTGCCACTTTGGGGCAGGCAGAAATAAGGAGGGAGAGAAGCTGTTGCTCCTGAGGACTGGCTAGAAGGAAAGTGGCCAATGACAACAAAAGTTAGAAATTCTCCATCCAATCCCAGCTACTCAGGAGGCTGAGGCAGGAGAATTGCCTGAACCCAGGAGGCGAAGGTTACGGTGAGCCGAGATCGTGCCATTGCACTCCAGCATGGGTAACAAGAGCGAAAAACTCTGTCTCAAAAAAAAAAAAAAAAAAAAAAGAAATTCTCCATCCAGTCTTGTCTTCAGGACTGTGCCAATCACGAGGTAGCTACCAGTGCTACAGGCTGACCTACACCTACTTGTTTCTGTTGCAGACTCCCTGGCCAGCCCAGGAAAATGTGGGTCAGGTCGCACTTCATGGAGAGGTCACGTTTTAGTCACTTTATCCTTTTTTAGGTGCAAAAGGTATGTCTGAAGAATTATTAGGATTTATAATGAAATATAAACTCTGATGGTGCTTAATTTTTCCAAAGGCTATTATTATTTTAACACAGAACAAAGTGATAGCCCTAACATCAGATTTATATATTCATAAATAAGTGGCAACCATTGTCTGAGTTGGGAGGTAAGACATTTGTCAATCTGGGTAGCACTGTAGCGGGCAGGCTGGATGATCAAGTTCACGTTACAAATTACTTACCCAGCTCTGATGTGGAATAGTGGGAAATCTTCAGGAGTAACAAAATATTTATTTAATATTTCCAACACTAAATGGAAAGTGCAAGCATTTTAAGGAATAATTTTTATTATAATTAAAAACTTTTTTCACTTCTTTTTTTCTTTTGCTTTTTTTCTTTGTTCTAATCGAATGAGATTAATTTTTAACTAATTTTTTTTTTTTTTTTTTTTGGAAACAAGGTCTCACTATGATGCCCAGGCTGGTCTTGAACTCCTGGGCTCAAGCAATCCTCCTTCCACAGCTTCCAAGTAGCTGGGACTACAGGTGCGTGCTACTGCACCTGGCTCAAAACAATTTTTAAAAATAGAAATATATGCATTGAAATGTTAATCATGGCCATCTCTGAATGAAAGACATATTATTTTATATTTTTCTTTTTTTTGTATCTTTAAAAATTTCTCACACAGAGTACATGTTTTCAGAGTAAATGCAATTTTAAAACCCTTGATTGTTAATTTATCAAAATTAATACAACATACAATTATAAACATCATTTATAACATGTGCATTATACTGATTTTTTTTTTTTTTTTTTGAGACAGAGTCTACCTGTATCTCCCAGCCTAGAGTGCAGTGGCACGATATCAGGTCACAGCAACCTCCGCCTCCAAGTCTAAAGCAGTCTTCCCACCTCAGCCTCCTGAGTAGCTAGAACTACAGACATGTGCCACCAAGCTGGCTAATTTTTGTACTTTTTGTAGAGATAGGGTTTCACCACGTTGCCCAGGCTGGTGATTTTGATGTTTACGATTACAGACTAATAGGAGCAATTATTGCTAAACATCTGATTTACATATAAATAGATTAGTTTTTTTTTTTTTTTTTTTTTTTTTGAGACAGAGTTTCACTCTTGTTACCCAGGCTGGAGCGCAATGGTGCGATCTCGGCTCACCACAACCTCCACCTCCTGGGTTCAGGCAATTCTCCTGCCTCAGCCTCCGGAGTAGCTGGGATTACAGGCACGCGCCACCATGCCCAGCTAATTTTTTGTACTTTTTTTTAGTAGAGACGGGGTTTCACCATGTTGACCAGGATGGTCTCGATCTCTTGACCTCATGATCTATCTGCCTCGGCCTCCCAAAGTGCTGGGATTACAGGCGTGAGCCACCGCGCCCGGCAGAGATTAGTATTTTTTAAAAACACAAAGTATATCTCAAAACACATACGTTCACTAATAGTCATGATTTCATCACCTTTCTGCTGAGTCTGCGTTTAAGTTCCATTTTTGCTTCTTGTTCCTCTTCTTCATTCTTTTCTGTTTATTAAAGGGGGAAAGTCATGATGACAGTTACTATAGATGATTTTATAATCAGAAAAATATATCAGGCCACAATCACGTGACTCTAACAAATAATGATCAAATACTACACCAACATCATTAAAAAGTTGTCAAAAGATTTTGTAGAAAGGTTGATCATCTTATACACATACATACACACACATACACACACACATATATATGTATATGGTTTTTTTGGTAGGACTGGTTTACTAATTTTAAACGTTTTAAATGTCTTGTTCTACGCTTAAAAAAAAAAAACACAGGCGTGTCCATGTTCTAATGAAAGCCCTCTATTGCTGATCATCTTAGGGGCTTATAAGCACAATTTACCAGAATTCAGATAAAAATTTACTTCAGAATCTGGCCTTCATGTGAAAATCTGAGACATATTAAAAGAGCAAATTGGAACCATCCGATGCATGTCTGAGCTGCTGATTTCCATTCAAATCCAACCAAAATATTTGATTTGTCTTCCTTGGTTTCCATAGAGGCAGAATGTAAGCATTTCCTTGGACTTCGCTTTCAAACCAGAATGTTCTAAATGAGGTTATGATGTACTGTGGGTGGAAATTATTTATTTTCTTGTGACTTTGCCTTTCCAAAGTCTTCTCTTTCTCTAGTGATTCACCAAGTAGTACAATTTTATGCTGCCCAACAGATGGGATTTAAAGAAAAATGTCCAAAAATTTTAAAGAAATAAACACCCTTCAGGTTTTGCTGTTTGTTGCTTACTAGAGGAACTTCTCTCTGTTGCTTCCTTTAGCTCATCATCCGTTCGATCAGCGAACATATATTTTGCTTCTTGGATACTGATGTTTACGATAGACTATGCTTTAGAAAGTGCTATCATGAACTCTTCTGAAGGAAAATCACACTGCATAAAGATTTGACCAAAACGTTGAAAAAGGAAAACTTTTTCTGTTTATTTACTTTTATTTTATTTTTTGGGACGGAGTCTCGCTCTGTCACCCAGGCTGGAGTGCGATGGCATGGTCTTGGCTCACTGTAACCTCTGCCTCCCAGTTTGAGTTAAAAATTTTTTTTAAATCCATGACAGGTATGAAATATATTTATTTTAAAATTCAAATACACTTCTTACAACTAAGACTATTCTTATTGTAAATAAAATATCAATATTAAATATTTGTAACATCTATATTTGTTAGTTGAACAGGTTAAATTCTCTATCCGTTTTCCTTCTCTGAACAGGAAAGATTTTGTGTTCTTCTGAAATAATAACTTGAATGCATAAGAAAGAAGGTGATTAAACAAAGAGTGAACATAAACTGTAATCACCCACAAGACAAGAAACGAGTTAATATCCTTTCATTCTGTGCCAGTCAAACAAATTTTGTTATAATTTACATTTGTTCCTGTGAATGTACTGTAGGTTTTTAATTGCTTCTCAAAATATATACCCTTTCATATCCTTAAAAATGCATACTTAGGTTCAAGAATTACCTCATATGAGTTGGATGAAGCTTGTGAATTTTCAAAATACATAATAAACAAATATCACACTGTGGTCCCTGTGATTCAAACCAGAGCTTTACAAGGTGATGTAATAGTGAAAATAAAAATAAAATTGTTGATACTGTTGATAAAAGTAGATGATATTGTTAGTGATATTGATGACATTTAAAGAAAATATAATTCCTTTTTTTTTTTTTTCTTTTTTGAGACAGAGTCTTGCTTTGTTGCCTAGGCTAGAGTACAGTGGATCTCTGCTCACTGCAACCTCCACCTCTCGGGTTCAAGTGAGTCTCCTGCTTCAGCCTCCCTAGTAGCTGGTATTATACGTGCGTGCCATCATGTCCAGCTAATTTTTTATATTTTTAGTACAGATGGGGTTTCACCATGTTGGCCAGGCTGGTCTCGAACTCCTGATCTCAGGTGATCCGCCTGCCTCGGCTGGGAAAATATAATTCTTAAAACATTTTTGTCAATTCTTCTCATGCAATGTCTATGCTATATTTTTAAGGTACTTTTCAAAGATGAAAATATTGGCTATAATACATCCCAAAGCTAACGAATGCTCCAGTCTTCAATAAATATGCAAAAATGACGTTTCCTTCACGAGAATATTAGAAAGTTTTGCCTTATTAAGCATATCGTACAAGTAGTGCTACCAGGTAACAGTGATGTCTGAAAAGAGACAGGCCAACTGCAGTTTAGAGGACTGAATTCATTTTTGACATCAGGAACTGACTTCTTTACATTTTCCATGTTTGAAACTATACTTTTAGCGAAGTTAGAGGAGGAGAGTGAGAGGTAGAGGGAAGCCAACATGACCGTTCCTCTGAATCTTCATTTTTATTTTTATTTACTTATTTTTTTGAGACAGAGTCTTGCTCTGTCACCCAGGCTGGAGTGCAGTGACATGATCTTAGCTCATTGCAACCTCTGCCTCCCGGGTTCAAGAGATTCTCCTGACTCAGTCTCCCAAGTAGCTGGGACTACAGGCACCTACCACCACACCCAGCTAATTTTTTGTATTTTTAGTAGAGATGGGGTTTTATCATGTTAGTCAGGATAGTCTCAATCTCCTGACCTCATGATCCACCCGCCTCAGCCTCCCAAAATTACAGATGTGAGCCACAGCGCCTGGCCTGAATCTTTATTTTTATTTTGTAGAGATGGGCTTTCCCTGTGTTGCCCAGGCTGGTCTTATTTCCAGGCCTCAAGTGATCCTCCTGCCTTAGCCTCCCAAGTAGCTGGGATTACCAGCATGAGATACCATGCCAGCTTCTCTGAATCTTATTTAACAGTCATTGTAAAATCTGTCATAAAGTCAAGATTAAACCTTAGACTCAGAATTTAAAAATGCACCAAGTTTTTTGTATGCTTCCTTCATTTTTGATTCACGAAAGGACTAATTATAAAGTAGAATGTAAATCTTCTGGTCAATTTAAACAGGCTGGAAGGATATTCATGAAGGAAGTGAGGTGGTTCATTGACAAATTTTGCTCTCAGTGACTCTCATCAGAGTAGAGAGGGGTGAATATTTCCGACAAGCCGCAGGAAGCATTTTCAATAAATAAACAAATAAAACATGTGGTCAAACAGCAACGGGTACTACAGGAAACCCGCCTGGTGAGCAGTGCTGCTCAGAGAATTTTGTGGATGAGCTAAAAGGAGACGAAAGAAAAGTACAAAAGTATCAGCAACTGGAATATTATATTCTTGAGTTGTTAATTCAGATAAAATGGGTTCAAAAAGCCAAAATTTGTTGTGGGTTTGTTTCTCTTTTTGCTTTTTACATGTTTCCATGTAGTTTTTTTTTTTTTTTTTTTTTTTCCAATTTTTGGTGGAGATGAGATCTCACTATATTGCCCAGGTGGGTCTCAAACTCCCGGCCTCAAGCAATTCTCCTGCCTTGGCCTTCAGGGCTTTGAGATTGCAGGCATAAGCCACCTTACCTGGCCTCATGTGGGTGTTTTTAACAAATTAAAAAACATGTATAAACTTAAAGTGTGTTTAAAAAAGCGGGATCAACAGATGCACAGATATGTCATAAAGCAAGATGTTAATGATAGACTATAGATGGTAGATACAGGGGGATTTACTGTAAAATTCCTTCAACTTTTCTTCATGTTTAAACATTTTCATAATAAAATATTGGGGAAAAATACATGCAGAATTCAATGTCCTAAATCATTTTTCTCTATAGAAGACATAGATAGAATTACATTCTTAGCTAAATATATCACCTTTCTTGATTAGCAAAAGTTTACCTTTTAACTACCAAAAGTTGCTTTTTATTTTACCAGTTTGTAGGAACTGGTTCTAAAACACATGACTAAATATTTTATTTATATATATATATATATACACACACACATATATAAAAGTTCTAGTGTCATCAAAATAATTAGGAAAGACATTAAGTAAGGAGTGATATGGGGAATGACACTAAGAAATACCATTTTTCTAGTGGTTACCAATGAAAGCTAATGGCATTTATTTGCATCTGACTAATGTTTATTAAACCCACGGGCTCTAAAAATTGTTGAATGTTTTATTCTGTGAATTAGTTTTCTAGTTTGTCAAAAAAAGATGACTTACTTAGGGCCGGGACAGTGGCTCATGTTTGTAATCCCAGCACTTTAGGAGGCCGAGGCGGGCGGATCACAAGGTCAGGAGTTTGAGACCAGCCTGGCCAACATAGCAAAACCCTGTCTCTACTAAAAATACAAAATTAGCCAGGTGTGGTGGTGCACGGCTGCAGTCCCAGCTACTCCAGGTGGCTGAGGCAGGAGAATCACTTGAACCTAGGAGGTGGAGGTTGCAATGAGCCGAGACTGCGTCTCTGCACTCCAGCCTGGGCAACAGAGTGAGACTCCATCTCAGAAAAAAAAAAAAAAAAAAAAAAAGATGACCTAGTTAAAGTAAGTGTCCTTAAAAACCACACTGTATCACACACTTTTCTACTGTTCTTGAACAAAAGCTGGCGATGAAACATACAAACAAGCAAACAAGAGCAATCCATGTGGAAGAACCAAGAAAGAGGCAAACGGGCTGAGTGGAGTGTAAGGCAGGCTGTTCAGCTTCCTGCGACTGCTCAGGGAAAGATGACCTCTCCCGGTTTTCTTCTGCCTTCCTGGGCTGCACAATACTGGGTCAGGAGATCATAGGCCAACTTATCAGCCTCTCCAGACTGGAAATATGTCTCTGTTTCCAGAAATAAACATGCTTAGGTGAACTTAAAAGGAAGGAAAAAAAGGCTGGAGTCAAATCTGAAGAGTCTCTCTCACTCTTTCCTCCAGGAAAACAAGATGTAAAGGCCAGGGCAACACTTAAGATCAATGTGTGATAAGTTTCTAGATCCATGAAACAGTTCCTCAAATAACTAAATTCCAGTGTGGTTTGGCACTGTTAATCTCACAGGATCAAGAAATATTTACCTAAAAATTGGTCTTTTTTTTTTTTTTTTTTTCTAGATTGGATCAGGCATCCAGCACGCATAATCTCTGTGTTGTTTAGCAGCTTAGGGTCTGCATTTGAGCTTGCTTAAAACTTAATTCAACAAGTATTTCCCAGGAACCTATCATGGAAAGCAATGAATCTTTTTGGCTTATTATCAAAATTAGATGCTGCTTCTACTCTTCCTCAGAAAAGCAAAAACATAAAATTTTCCTTCTTTTCCAACCACAAATTTTTCCTCCTCCAAACTGGCTTCTCTGTACATTGGTAGCCACTTAAGTCCTTCTTGGGACTGTATTCTAGTTATGTTCCAAAAAAGCCAGAAAAAAGCATTCTGAAGAAAGTGATCCCATAGACTGGGTGGATGGTAGTTCATATTCATTGTTGAATTGATTTCATACTAACAACTGTAATACAATATGCTACTAAAAATTTTCTTTCCTAAAGGAAAGAAAGTAACTTGGATTGAAGAGGAGGGGTCTTCTAGCAGGCCAAGATAACTCGACAAGTCTGGTTGACAAGGATTTCCCCCACACCATGGGTCACTCTTATTCCAGTACTATCCGGAGTTTTACCCATGTTCTTTGATATTTCATGCAATAAAAAGATCTTTTGAAACTGGGTTAACAATATATAAAACTACAGCTAGGCTCAATTAAAAAATATCTGTTTCTCTACTCACTGCCGTATCTGACCACATTGACAAACAGTAGCATGATAAACTTCATTTCTATTAGTTTTCTAGCTTTAACTTACTAACTCCAATAAATACTACAGCAGGGATGGGTGAAAAATAAAGTCAGAGAGAATAGAGGGAAAAATAGGAAGATGAATGGAGAACTTTTTAGTGCTGAAACATTACAAGCAACTCAAGAAGGAATCACGTCATAGGAAAGAAATGGATTGAAAATTTTGTTTTGAGTCATTTGTTAAACTAGCAACAAAGTATATTATTAATAATAATATAGGAATGTTCGATTTATTTTTTGCGGATTCTTTTGGCCTCTTCTTTGACATTTATTTGCAGGAAGACTAGAGCATTCTTTTTCTATTTAATATGTGGGTGAAAGAATACAAAGAATACATTTCATCTTTCTTAAACACCATTGTCATGACTGTGACTCTGGTCTGGGGAGGGGTGGATATAAGGCTCAAAGCCATAAAATAAAATACACAATTCAAGAAATTAAAAAAATATATAAACAATTACATGTAAATGTAACATAAATAGACCATTTCAGTCCATCATGAGTAAACGAATATATAATGGTTTCTTGCTGATAAATGCGTCATCTGTAGCGGTTCCTTGCTAATGATTACACAAGGAATCATTCTATAGTACAGAATACTCACGTTTTAGGATGTTTCTTTGCTCTAATTCTTCAGACGTGGGCCTCTGGCTCAGCCTCCTATGATGACAAAAAGGATATATTAATGTTACAAACAAGGTACCCTAGTAGGAGACTCAAAATAAAACAATAAGGTTCTATTTTTCATGTTTTGAGAAAGAAAAATCCATTTTTAAAGCTTCAAAATAAAAGTCTCCTTCTCATTAGTTTGGAGATTACAGATCATGGCTGAGGCTGCTCACTGACCCCCATCACACAGTCTCCCTTCCTTTTAGCAACAGATAGGCCTGAATGTTAGCTAGGCACCTGACCACAGACTTCTGCCTCCCTAGAAGCCAGGTGTGATGCTGTGATTGGATTTCTGCAACGGGATGTGAGCAGAATGACGTTTGTTGTTTCCCCTTCTCATCCTTAAAACGCCTGGGTGTGTGTTCCCTTTTTTCTCTTTCCTTTTTCCGCAGGCTAGAACTTCAGCATGGTGGTGTGAGCCAGCTTTGATCACGCAGATGAGATCATTCAGAGGGACGGGAGAGCAGCAAGACAGAAGGAACATGGGTGCTAGGCTGACCTCAAGAAGCTGTGCTCCCCCTCATGCTGGATGGCCCACTTACCTGGGCACTGTCATGTGAAAACGAAATACACATACCTAGTTTGAACCACTGTAGTTTTTGGCCTCTGTTACAGCTTATCTTATAGCCTAAATAATGTACAGCTCATTAGGGTCTACAACAGGCTGTTGTTCAATCATTCCCACTAACTGAGATGACCAATCTATACTGCACAGTGGTATAAGTGAAATGCCGCTTTGGGACCTCAGATGAATATATTATATATAAAGTTACAGGTCCTTCCCATCTGTCTTCAAGAAAACCCAGGCACGTTTATGATTAGTTGCTATTTGTACATGAGAGCTGAACGTCTTAATAACGTTTTATAACTTAGTTCTTGGTCTTGTTTACATTATTAATTTATTGTTAATCAGGGAGAAAAACTGTCTCTGGGCATAGGCTGAATTTGTGCAAATTAAATAAAAATACATAAAAAGTACTTTTTTTTTTTTTAAAGAGAAAGGGTCTGGCTCTGTTGCCCAGGCTGGAGTGCAGTGGTGGGATCATGGCTCACTACAGCCTTCAACTCTTAGGCACAAACAATCCTCCTACCTTAGCCTCCCAAGTAGTTGAGACTATAGGCATGTACCACCATGCCCAGCTAATTTTGCTTATTTATTTTTGTAGAGATGGGGTCTTGCTATGTTGTCCAGGCTGGTCTTGAATGCTCGGCCTCAAGTGATCCTCCTACCTCGGCTTCCCAGGGTGCTGGGATTATAGGTGTGAGCCACTGTGCCTGGCTGGGTAATCTTAATATAAGGTAGTACTACTAATTCTAAATGTTTATGGCTATGACAGAAATGGTAAGAAGCATTGAAATTAATGATACTTTAAATATCTCATTAAAATGTTTATTAAACTGTGATCTTCATCAGAGCTACCTTGAAACTAACTTAATTGAGCAGAAAAAAAGAATATATTGAATATCTACGTCTATGCCAGCCAGGTTTTCTGCCATCCATATCCCCATGTATCCTGTGCTACATGGCTGTACTATCAATATACTGTACTCTATACTAAGCCCACAATAAGCCACGCTTTTTTAATTTACGGTGTCTCCTCCCTCTGGGTTGTCTTTCTCTCCTTTTCCATCCACTGAAACCTTACAGATGATTAAAATAATATCTTGAAGATAGGTATTTGGCATCTCCTGAAAATGAGAATTAAAGACTCATGGTTCTTTGCTTATTTACAGCAATTTATAAACAGACTATACATCTATTAAAACACTTATCACACAGGTAATTATAAAGATAATAATTACAGCTATCATTTAGTCAGTTTTAAAAATCTAAGTACTGTGTGTGCTAGGTGCTTAGTTTACATGATCTTGAATCCTTAAAACAATTCAGCAAGGTAGCAGCCAGTTCCAATTTTACAGATGAGGAAACGAAAGATGAGGAACGTCTAAGGTAAAACACTAGTAAATGCTAGCGCCAGAATTCATACTCAAGTCCTTTGACTTAGATGTTTGTGTTTTTCACATGACCCCATCGTGCAACATATAATTTTGTCTCTCATTAGACATGGAGTTCTCTATGGCTGGAACGGTGGGTGATTTATCGTTCAATGACAGTGATTAGATGTGCTTTGTTCATACAAAAATAATTCTGTAAAATTTACATTTTAGTAACAGTGAAAACTCTGATCTATTAACTTATTTTATTTTTTTGTGAAACAGGGTCTACCTTTGTCACTTAGGCTGGAGTTCAGTGGTGTGGTCTCAGCTCACTGCAACCTCCACCTCCCGGGCTCAAGCGATCCTGCCACCTCAGCCTCGCAAGTAGCTGGGACTGACTACAGGTGCATGCCACCAAGCTCCACTAATTTTTTTTTTTTTTAGTAGAGGTGGGGTTTTGCCCAGGCTGGTCTCAAACTTCTGGGCTCAAGGGATCTACCATCTCATCCTCCCAAAGTGCTGGAATTATAGGCATCAAGCCACCATGCCCAGACCATTGACTTTTTTTATTTTTGAGACAGAGTCTCACAGTGTTGCCTGGGCTAGAGTGCAATTGCATGATCTCGGCTCACAGCAAACTCTGCCTCCCGAGTTCAAGTGATTCTCTTATCTCAGCCTCCCAAGTAGCTGGGATTACAGGCACCCGCCACCATGCCCAGCTAATTTTTTTTTTTTTTTTTTGTATTTTTAATAGAGATGGGGTTTCACTATGTTGGCCAGGCTGGTCTTGAACTCCTGACCTGATCTGCCCGCCTTGGCCTCCCAAAGTGCTGGGATTACAGACATAAGCTACCGCACCTGGTCCATTGACATTTTTGATAGATATAGTCTATGTATTTATAAAGGCTTTTGAACTTTTTGGGGTTGCAATGGAATCCTAATCTGTAAGAGAGACAGAAGCTGTCTCAGTTGGATTGTTAGATCAGAGATGGAGAAGGCGCCTCCCATGCCAGCCCAAACATACACCTATACTCCCATCCCAACTCAAACACACACCTACACTCCCGTCCCAGCCCAAATATACACCTGCACTTCCCTGGCTCTTCCAGGAGATGCCTATGTATCATTTACAGGGCATCCTTGATGAAGTGTTTAGAAAACAGGTACTTTATGGGATTCCAAAGTGTCAGCTTCTCAGTATTTTCACTGGTCCCTTGTTTTTGAGCATTTGGTATGTTTTAATCTGTCATTGCTATAAAAGCTTTGTAATAAACATCTTTGTAAGACATAGCATTTCCTCCCTTTGGATTATTTCCTTTTTACATAGTCCTCAAATTGAATTATCATCCAAAGAAACAGACTGCTTCATAATTCTCATATCATACTGTTAAACTGTTCTTTGGAAATACTGAAAAGGTGCAATGTATATATGTCCTATTTGCCCATAAACTTGCCAACATTGGGTTTAATTTTTTTTTTTTTTTTTTTTTTTTTTTGAGATGGAGTTTTGCTCTTGTTACCCAGGCTAGAGTGCAGTGGCGTGATCTCGGCTCAGAGCAACCTCCGCCTCCTGGGTTCAAGCAATTCTCCTGCCTCAGCCTCCTGAGTAGCTGGGATTACAGGCACGCGCCACCATGCCCAGCTAATCTTTTGTATTTTTAGTAGAGACGGGGTTTCACCATGTTGACCAGGATGGTCTCGATCTCTCGACCTTGTGATCCACCCGCCTCTGCCTCCCAAAGTGCTGGGATTACAGGCTTGAGCCACCGCGCCCAGCCTGCGGTTTAAAGTTGTTTTTTTTTTTTTTTTTGAGACAGCATCTCACTCTGTCACCCAGGCTGGAGTGCAGTGATGCAATCTCAGCTCACTGCAACCTCTGCCTCCTGGGTTCAAGCAATTTTTGGCCTCAGCCTCCCTAGTAGCTGTGATTAGCTGGAATTCTAGGCACCCACCACCACATCTGGCTAATTTTTGTAGTTTTCGTAGAGATGGGGTTTCACCATCTTGGCCAGGCTGGTCTTGAACTCCTGACCTTGTGACCCACCCACCTCGGCCTCCCAAAGTGCTGGGATTACAGGCATGAGCCAGCGCGCCGGGTGGGTTTAATTTTTAAATGTGCTTTACTAGTTTAACTGCTGTATAATAATTTAAATTAAATTAATAATAAGATTTTTTTTTTTTTTTTTTTTTGAGGCAGTCTCACTCTGTCACCAGGCGCTAGGCTGGAGTGCAGTGGCACAATCTCGGTTCACTGCAACCTCCGCCTCCTGGGTTCAAGCAATTCTCCTGCCTCAGCCTCCTGAGTAGCTGGGACTACAGGCGAGTGCCACCATGCCCAGCTAATTTTTTGTATTTTTAGTACAGATGCGGTTACATCATGTTGGCCAGGATGGTCTCGATCTCTTGACCTTGTGATCCGCCCGCCTTGGTCTCCCAAAGTGCTGGGATTACAGGCTTGAGCCACCGTGCCTGGCCCAAGAAAAAATTTTTGAGTGCTTGCTATGACCCAGGTACTGAAGTACCTTAAGTGTATCATCTCTTTTAATCCTCCCAAGCTCTTGGGTTAGTTAGTTCTGTTTTATAGATGGGGCCAAGCAGTGACTCTTTCCTGCCTTGTCCTAGAGATTGTATTTCTGCCAGTTCTGGATCAGCCCACACTTGGATGTTGAATAACCACCTCTCACAATGGCTGTGGTCATGATGATTTTCATTAAATTTATCACAGCCCCAAATATCTTTTCAATCTGTGGCCACAGGCCTCTCATCCTATCTTGGCAGATGGTTTTTTCTCTGACCCACACTGAAAAAGGTGACATTTATTTCTATTAGGTTTCATTTTATAGAATGAATCCATCATACCCTGATTCTATAAAGTATATCTATTGTCCCTCAACTTCACACCACCCATGTTTAACTTGTCTGTTGATTCTTCTTCATTGATAAAAATGTTTACTCTCTCTCCATTTAGTTACATATTCCTCTATTTCTTCCATTATGATTTTCTGGAAACGGATTTCTTGGGCCTGGAGTTAAGTATTTAAAATGTGGTTGTTGCTATTACTGTGAGTGCAATCTCCGCTTTTCATTGTATTTTCTTCTATGTATCAATGTTATATAAATAGAATGTTGATTTTTTAATAGGTTAATCTTAGGCAAACCTGCTGAAATTATTACATATAGCAATTTTGGGTCAGTTTTTAGAGTTTTCTAGGTATATAATGATGTATGATAATGGTATATCTTTCCTATAATTTATACCTTTTCTTTACGACGAATAATTGCAACCAGACTTCTGGTACAGTACAGTTAAGGAATTTTTGTTTGCTTCTATTTTTAAAGAAAATGATTTTAGGGTTTCTCCCTATAGTAAGATATTTAGCATTATTTCATTTTATTTTATTGAGACGGACTCTCACCCTGTTGCCCAGGCTGGAGTGCAGTGACGTGATCTCGGCTCACTACAACCTGTACCTCCCAGGTTCCTGCCTCAGCCTCCTGAGCAACTGGGATTACTGGCGCCCATCACCATGCCCAGCTAATTTTTGTATTTTTGGTAGAGATAGGGTTTCACCATGTTGACCAGGCTGGTCTCAAACTCCTGATCTCAGGTGACCTGCCCACCTTGGTCTCTCAAAGTGCTGGGACCGCAACACCTCATTTGTTTAGATTTTTAACAAAACTTACATGATTTTCTTTACTGCTGCTTTGGCATTTATTGAGGTGGGTATATGATACTTCCCACTTTTTACTCCTATGATAAACAATGAGGATATTCTGTTTTTAAGGGATACACCCTGTTTGCATCATTATTTTATGCAAATATTATTCAATGATTTAAATTCTTCTTCACAGCAAAACATAAACAAGAGCAATAAAACAATCAGGAAAGCTAGAAGCATATACTCTTACATAGGGTAGAAAGCACAAAACAGGAGACCGTATACAAAAGAAAATTGGGCAGAGAACCCAGGAGCCAAAATTCTACTTCTGGTTCTGCTACTCAGTAACTGCCTGTCCTTGAGAAATTTCCTTAATCTCTCTGCGCCTCAGAGAGGCCGCTTGTTTTTCCTTGGTAAGATGACAAGTTTAGACTTGTAGGTTTTTCCAGCTTGATACCATTAATCACTTCAGTCCCTCTTGCTTCTGCTAGCTCTTTCCCTGAAGCAAGAGATGGTCACAGGTTAGGGCTGAATTAAGAAGATGAGAGTGAGAGAGACCGCTGGTGAACATTTCTGAATTTCTCCCAGAGTCGTAAAAGCGCTTCTGGAGCAGAGAGACCCTCTAAGCCTCCCACTGGGTTCCCTGTTAGACTGTGCTTTTCCTTCAGATGGACACCACAGCCGCTGCCTCTGACATCTTTCTGCACATCTCAGCCCTAAGGAGGTATCTTAGGGGTTACTCTAATGTCAACAGCCTCCATGCCAATCCTGCCCCCAGTTATATCACTTCCAAGCAAGGACAGTAATTTCCTCCCACCTCCAAATCCTGCTCTGAGATTCTAGACAGTTCCTTTCTCCCAGTTATGTACTGTGTTGTGTATGCAGATAAGTCAGCAGAACAACCAATTACTACATGTGTTCAAACTGATAATCGAAAGTAAGAACTTTGGCATGAATGAATACTCACTCCTGTTAAAACTGCCAGTTAAATGGACTTGTAAAGTCACTAGTGGCAAAAGCAAAAATCTAATACAATGGCTGAAGGCAGGTAGAGATGTCAGATGACCCATTTACTCGAAGTTGCAAGGGGGAAGTGTAGATATGAGGGTTATGGTTACCTGACTTGGATGGAGCCAGACCATGGAAGGGAACTACTATTTCTACAGTCTCTCAGTCCACAGGGCAGAACCTCATGGCATTCACAGGAATGCTAGTGAGTTCAAAAGGCCAGGATTGTTGAGCAAACTGATCTGCAGGCCAAATCCAGCTTTAAGAATAAATAAAGTTTTATTGGAACATGGCCACACTCATTTGTTTATCTATTATTTATGTCTGCTTTTATTCTACAGCAGCATAGCTGAGTAGCTGCAACAGAGACTGGCCAGCAAAGCCTGAGATGTTTGCCAACTGGTCTTTAAAAAAAAAGTCTGCTGACCCCTGGAATAGGCTTGGCGACCTTAAAGCCACTGGCCAAAGACGGGTTCTTTGAGTAGTTCATCATCCAAGACCAACTTTAAAAGACCCAATAGGCCAGGTCTATCTGTACATAAGGAATTCACAATGACCCTAGTTAGGTAGGAAGCTTCAGAAGGTGAAAAATACAAATTAGTCAGTAGTGTCCTAAAATGGTAGCAATTACCTGACTAACTTGGTTCCAATCTGTTGTCGGATTTCCTGCCTCTCTTCTTCAGATGTACGCTGCAAGATGTTTTTGTCCTCTAATTCTTTCTTAGATGGTCTGTTGCCAAGTTTGATAGCAAGAGTATCCCTCCGTCGGATTTTACTTGCCAAAGCACCTGAGGATTGAAAAAGAGCAGAAATGCAGAGAGAGGCTTTTAGCCGGTGGCACTCGGATTACACATGGCATGGTCTTTAAATAGAGCCTAGACCAAATTCTTTATCCTCATGCAGGAGGAGAATCTTAATTAACCTAAAGAAAAAAAAAAAAGACTGAGTTGGATGCAGTTCATTTTGAAAAGACTGAAGAGCTATTTCTTTTTAATGTTCTGAAAAGTATTGGGACACCATGAAAAACCTTCAACATATCACTTCATCATTTGGAAAGTGATAGCTGCAGTGTATTTTGCTGAGAGGGTGGATCACTGAAATGACTGATTGCACAATGTTTTTTCTTTTTCAAGTTTAACAAAGTTCCTTTGCTTTTATTCTGTACAGTTAATCCTCGTCTCCTTCTTTCGTCTACTCAGACGCCATCCTGGCAGAGTCTATGAATGTTTAACCCTTAATTACCCCAGAATCCTGAAAATTTCGTCAGATGATAAGTAACACCATGTGGATGATAATGATTTTATTTTAATTTTTGCTCTGTTCAAATTAAAAGGGATTGGACAAAGTGCTATTTAATTACTAATATAGTAATAACTTGTCATACTCCACAGATTGAATTCCACAGTGAATGACTCCCATGTTATCCTGCCCAAAGCTTTAAAAAAAAAAAAAAAAAAAAAGCACTTTCTAGATCTCTAAGTTATAGTAGGTTGGTGCAAAAGAAACTGTGTTTTTTGTCACTATTTTTAATGCATAAATGATATTATTTCCCAGCAGGCCAACTATCTTACTTGTTGTGGATGAATGATTGTTTTTAATGCTAATGAGGTGTTTGGCATTTTTTTATTATTATGTTTTGAGATGGAGTCTTTCTCTGTCTCCCTGGTTGGAGTGCAGTGGTGTGATCTCAGCTCACTACAACTTCTGCCTCCTGGGTTTGAGCAATTCTCCTGCCTCAGCCTCCCGAACAGCTGGGATTATGGGCATGCACCACCACACCTGGCTGGTTTTTGTGTTTTAGTAAAGACAAGGCTTCGCCACGTTGGTCAGGCTGGTCTTGAACTCCTGACCTCAAGTGATTTACCTGCCTCAGCCTCCCAAAATGCTGGGATTGCAGATATGAGCCACTATGCCCGGCCTCTTAATGCTAATGAGGTATTTGGCATTCTTGACTCATTTCTCCCTCCTCCATTTTTAAACCACAGTATACAAGTGAGTGAAGCCGGGCGCGGTGGCTCAAGCCTGTAATCCCAGCACTTTGGGAGGCCGAGGCGGGTGGATCACGAGGTCAACAGATCGAGACCATCCTGGTCAACATGGTGAAACCCCGTCTCTACTAAAAGTGCAAAAAATTAGCTGGGCATGGTGGCACGTGCCTGTAATCCCAGCTACTCAGGAGGCTGAGGCAGGAGAATTGCCTGAGCCCAGGAGGCGGAGGTTGCAGTGAGCCGAGATCGCGCCATTGCACTCCAGCCTGGGTAACAAGGGCGAAACTCCGTCTCAAAAAAAAAAAAAAGTGAGTGAAAATTTCAAACATCTCCAATGAGTAAGCCAATGAATCTACATCGACAATCTTTCTTCAAGAACAGTCCCAGAATGGAAGGGCTCTCTTTGGTCATAGTGAGAAAGGCCTCTGTCATTAGAAAGCTTTGATTCTCAGCACAAATACCAATATGCACATCTAGCTTATCTAGCTCACCAACAAAGGCCAGATCCAGCCGTGTGACATCATCTTATGGAAAGGCCTCCCATCAAAAGCTAAACTTTAGGATATACACATTTCTAATTTGAGAAAGGAGGATGAGGGGAAAGAAAACATCAGATGTCTGGTTCCTAATGAGGCTTTTATTCTTTACAAAGTGCAGCTGCTTCTGTTTATCGCCCACGCTCCTCCAAAGCTCTTGAAAAGTCTTACTTTCTCCGCTGCCATCCTCATCTTCGTCCTCGTCCTCGTCATCAGTGTACAAGATAGGCCCGTCTGAGTCAGAGTCATTGGCTTGGTATTCCCTTTGGCCTTCGTCTTCTGAGGCACTAAAGAATTCTGAAGATTCATCCATCAGCCCAGGAGTCAGCAGCTGAGGCACTGTCTTACCCAGCTCCTCTTTGGTTGTGAAACTGTTAAAGGCAGAAAAGCAAGGGAGTGATGTGAAGCTCAGAGCAACCCTTGGGGGCACCAACGCCATGAAAAAGAGCTCTAGTTTCATGGGCTTCCTTCAGCCTGGGAAAAGCAGACATTTGACATAGGCCAGGCTAAAGTCACTGAAATGAAACCTTAATTGTCAAGGTTTTACATTTTTCATCTGTAAAATGCAAAGGTTTGGTATCTGATACATTTAGCAAACAAATAGGGTAAAACTACATTTTCAAATTATTTTTTCCATAGCAATGGGATTCAGTGGAAAGAATAATGAGCTAGAGATTCCTGGATATTTGACACTGTCTGCAGCTTTCTTTGACCTATATGAACTCCTGCTTATTCTTCAGGTGTCAGCTCCTTCAGGAATCTTTCATGGGCCTTCACTTTAATTGCTTGTTCCACCTGTCTGTTCCAGGGAGACCTGAATACAACCCCACTAGAGTGCTTAGGGTACTACACCTTGACCACCCACTGCTTGTGGCTTCTCAGTCCCACAAGCTCCTTGAAAAGTGAGACTCATTGTTTTGCATCACAGCACCCAGAAGGTAGTGACGTAGAAAAGTACACCTTCTTTCATTAACACATGGCTGGGTTCGGTGGCTCACACCTATAATCCCAGCACTTTGGAAGGCGTAAGCAGGAGGATCACTTGAGCTCAGGAGTTTAAGACCAGCTTGGGCAACATAGGGGACCTCGTCTCTACTAAAAATACAAAAAATTAGCCAGGAGTGGTGGCCGGCACCTACTTAGGAGGCTGAGGCAGAAGAATCACCTGAACCCGGGAGGTGGAAGTTGCAGTGAGCTGAGATTGTGCCATTGCACTCCAGCCTGGGCTAGAAGAGCAAAACTCTGTCTCAAAAATAAATAAAAGAAAAATTAGCTGGGCATGGTGGCACTTGCCTGCAGTCCCAGCTACTTGGGAGGCTGAGGTGGGAGGATTGCTTGACCCTAAAAAGTCAAGGCTGCAGTGAGTCATGCTAGTACCACTGTACCTCAGCCTGGGTAACAGAGTGAGACCCTGTCTCAAAAATAAATATATATATATGTATATATTTATATATATATATGTATATGTATACACACACACACACACACACACACACACACACACACACAGTTCAATCCTGTGTTTATCCCAGTGAGTAAATAGTAAAAAATCATTTATCCTTTGCATGTTTTCATTTTTTTTTTTTTCATTTTTAAAACTGCCTCTTGTAACCTAATGGACAGTGTGCAAGTTAAATAAACTTTTTAGAAAAAAGGTGATATGCACTCTAGCCTGGGTGACAGAACAAGACTTCATCTCAAAAAAAAAGGGGGGGGCGGGCATGGTGGCCCACACCTGTAATACCAGCACTTTGGGAGGCTGAGATGGGCGGATCACAAGGTCAGGTGTTCAAGACCAACCTGGCCAACGTGGTGAAACCCATCTCTACTAAAAAACATGCAAACAAATTACCTAGCCGTGGTGGTGTGCGCCTGTAATCCCAGCTACTCAGGAGGCTGAGGCAGGAGAATCACTTGAACCCGGGAAGCAGAGGTTGCAGTGAGCTGAGATCACGCCACTGCACTACAGCTTGGGTGACAGAGTGAGACTCTTTCTCAAAAAAAAAAAAAAAAAAAAAAAAAAAAAAAAAAAAAAAAAAAAAAGGTGATATGCAAGGATGCAAGAATGCAAGAATTTTCTATTATTTAGCCTGGTAAAAGTCTATGGTTTAAAGAGTTACTATTAATATACAAAGACTGTCAATTTTCAAAGACTAGACTAAGATATATATAGTAATTTACATTAAAAATGTCATATTGAAAATAATGTAATCTTCATTTTAAGAGATAAAGATCCCCCAACTTGCTTTCTGGTAAAAAGTTCTTCTAGTAATAAACACAGATCAACTTTATCAGAATATGAGGTATTTAAAATTCTACTTTGTGATTATAAACCTTAGTACCGTCAAAATTTTGTTTCTCACTTATCAGAAAAACCCAACAGACTATCTTCTCATCCTCAAAGAGGAAAACAGGGAATCTCATTTTTATTGTGTAAAATATACATAACATAAAATTTGCCATTTTCACCATTTTTAAGTGTAGAGTTCACTGGCATTACGCACCTTCACATTACTGTATAACCATCAACACCAATCATCTTCAGAACTTTTTCATCTTTCCAAATTAAAACTCTGTACCCATTAAACAACTCCTCATAACCATTATCTTCCAGCCCTTGGCCACTACCATTCTACTTTTTGACTGTATAATTTGACTATTCTAAGTACCTTCTCTAAGAGAAATTATACAATGTTTGTCCCTTTGTATTTAACATATTTTACTTAGCATAATGTCTGCAAGGTTCATTCATTCATGTGGTAGCATGTGTGAGAATCTTCTGCATTTTTAAGGCTTAATGATACTCCACTCTATGTATATACCACATTTTGTTTATCCAGTCAATGGACATTTGTGTGTTTTCACCTTTTGGCTGTTGTGTATAATACTGCTTTGAGCACTGGTGTACAGATTCAAGGGCCTGCTTTCAATTATTTTGGCTACATACATGGAAGCAGAATTGCTGGATCACATGGTAATTCTATATTTAATTTTTTGAGGAACCACCATACTGTTTTCCACAGTGTTAAATCTCATCTTAAATAAAAGAAGATCTATTTTTATGGGAAAATTTTTCTACAGTCTGGATTTTTAGTTGATTACCACTGGAAGCCATTCTTGTTTGAATACGTCTGCCATCATGGGTGATCACAGCGCATTTAAAATACATGCCAATGAATATATGTTCTGAATAACAGAACAAAGAATATTGGAGAGATAAGCCCTTCATTTGTTGGTGTCATTGTTCACTAATTTATCATATTGATTATTATTCTAATCTTACTATTTGTATTTTATGTTTCATGGTTTTCAAATAATTCAGCATACACCTACGATTTACAAGTATTCTATTGTATAAGAAAGGTAGATAATGTATAGTTCAAGGAATCAAAGAAGGGCATGTGTGAGTTGCCTAACCAAGGTAGCAAGTCTAGTCTAAAATCCAGACTGAAGACCCTCGGTCTACCTGTTAAATTTTACATTTATTGTGCAATTATATTTTACACTTAATGAGTTATGTTATAAATTAGACCTGATGCTAAATATACTCCAAATCTGTATTAATCAATTCATAACTTAGCCCTCATTTTCCCCACTGGGGCTCTTGGGCACACTGGACAACATAGTGCATTCTGTAAATGTTTGTGCAAATGAACTGTACAAAATAACCTTTTGGATATGGCCTCCAAAGGGACTTATTAATTTTTGCCTTATCTGTTACCACACGTAGTGTTGCTGATGAAGCTGCCCATGAATGGAAGCCTACCAAATAATTAGTGCCCTGCCATATGGGAAGAGAGGTAGGTATTTTTATACATAGTCACTTGTCTTCTTGAAAGTTTTGATTTTGTATTCCAAACAGAAGTCTCTTCATAAAATGACAAGATTTTCACACATTAGTTGACTAAACATAACTCACAGGGAAAGTTCTAAGTAAAGAGCAAGTGACTAAGAGCCAGATATTCTAATTCAAATATTCACTTGAAAAGGAAGAAAGAATTTGGAAGGCAATTTGAGAGACTACTTACTCCAGGTTCGTTAACTGAAGAGCAAACACAAACCATCCCTGTAGGATAAACTGAAATTTAAATTTTGAAGAATATACGGAGAAGAAAATCCCTATGGCCTCTTCTAGGAAAGCATTATAACTACCTTGATGGACAGGAATATCTATTATAAACACCCTGGAAGGCTAATGATGTCCTAAGCTCACTCCCTCTCACAGTCCCAGTAGGAATAAACAACAGGTGGTTATCTCTTTGGTCTGACAGTTTTTCATATACTTGAGATGAAGACTGATATTAAGCCCCTCGTATGTAGTGTGGTGCTTAGCACAATAAAAATGTACTCCTTAAATATTTGTGGAAATGAATGGGATAGAGTCAGGTCACCTTTGGATGTGAGCTCTCTGAACGTTTAAGACTATATCAGGAAGCACTTTACATGTTGCACCTTATTCTTTAGTATATTGAACAATAGCCCCATATACCCAATCTGTTTCCCAAAATTCAGATGTTACCTTAAACATTTACACTTCCTGAGCACATCAGACAATATTTTGGTAAAAGCTAGTCTTAACTATACTCACTTTTGTATCTTTGGGACTTAGTACATTGCCCAGCACAGAAAAGGCAATAAAAAAAATACATGCTCTAAGAATGAATGTTCAGTTCTAAAGGTTGGAAGTGATTGCAATGTTGGGAAACTACTCAGTATAGTTAAATGAACACATTTGCTATCTGCTGGAAGTATTAAGAATGCTGCTAGGATTTGAATGTGTCCCCCAGAATTCATGGGTTAAAAACTTAATCCCCACTGTCAACGTGTTGAGAGGTAGGGCCTAGTGGGAGGTGTTTAAGTCATGAAGCTCCGCCCTCATGAATAGATGAATGCCATTTTCAAAGGGGCTCACGGGAGTAGGTTCACTCTTTTGTCCTCTTTGCCCTTCCACCTTCTACCATGTGATGACATAGAAAGATGATCCTCGCCAAATGCTGCTGCCTTGATCTTGGACTTCCAGCCCCCAGGATGGTGAGCCAATATTCTAATCATTATAAATTACACAGTCTCAGGTATTCTGTTACAGCAGCACAAAATGTCTTAAGAGAGACACCATAACCATTCATTTCAATAAATCTTCTTTTCCCATATCTTTTATTAAAATGTCAAACAAAGAAAATGAATTAATTTGTAATTTGACATTTATCTTTTCTTGGCTGTCCTTCAAATATTGGTGCTCTAAGTGATTTTAAACCGCCCCCAAAAAAACTAACAGAAGAGAAATGGCAGTAGATGTAGAAGCCATTGCTTTGGAAAACATGAAATTATACATTCAGAGCATGGAACTGGGTATGCATTCTGGCTTCACCACCACCAACAGGGCAGTCTTGTGCAAACTATTTTAGCTCTCTCAGTGCCAGTTTTTAAAATCTGTAAAACAGGGATACTTTTTCAGGAAGCCTTCTATAAATAAAATGATAATACATGTACAGTGCTTAGTTCCTGACATTAAATGAGTATTTGATAAATGAAAGTTATTATCATCAGCAATTAAATAATTAAAGTTGATATTTTAGTCTCTTGATCAAAACCAACCTAATTAATGTAATAATTTTTTTTAAAGTCTAATATGACAGATTGTTTTGAAAGAGACCCTTTTACATACTTTGAAGAATGAATACAGGTTTTGTTCTTAGACACAGGAGCAAAAAGCCAGAATTCAAGAGCTCTAAGTCTTTGCTAGACAGAATTGATCATTGCGTTTACTATACTCTGACAGCCATACTTCACACCTGTGGGACAGGGCTAATATGTTTTATTTGCCTGTAGAATATTTATAGGACTTTGGGAGTGATGAGATGCAAAGAATGAAAGAGAATTAGGACTCTTGGATGAACCCCAGGGTTCCAGCTTGGGCAACTGGGTATCGATAAAGCAACTAACCCGCCAACTGGATGAGAATGAGGCAACATCAAGTTCCTTGGCCCGTTTTGTTCAGGTATCTTCTGAAATGAAACTAAGACTACTTGAGCACTATCTTTTATCTTCCATTATACTCTACTTATAAAATCTAGCAATAGGGTCATTGTACCTTCAACGCTGCTTCCACCATGTTAAAGTAGGCTGATTTTTCCTATAACCATCTTAAATCACCTTTTTAATTTTCTTTCAACAATTCAATGAGTATCTTTCATGTGCCTATGGCATATCAGACTCTGGACTGGTTGCTGGGTACACAGAAGTATGTAAGACATGTTGGCGAATTCTGTCCCACAGATAGGAAAAAGGGTTGTCTACATATAGCAGACACAATAATAAATTCTGTCTGGAAGTATTGAATGGCTTCACAGAGGACCTAACATTTCAGCTGGGTGGGAATTTAAAGGAACAAGAAGGGGGCCAACTCTACTGCTAGAGAAAAAAAGAGTTCCAATATGAGAGTTCTTGTCTGATCGTCTTTATGTCCTTGGAGAACGGGAAGGCTCAGTAACTTACTGATATGAGTTGGTGAGCAGACTGGACCCACATGGTAAAGATTTAAAACAAGCACTGAAAGGAAAGAGAAGGGAACTGAGGACCGCTGGGCAGTGCTGAAGCAGGTTCTAAATGTACTTGAAAACACCGATCTCAAGTGGTATTTGTCGGCTCTACCAATGGTTGGATCACAGGTATGCCTAACACTCAGTAGGTTAAATTATAAAAGCAAACCTGTTTGCTTCATTTCCAACACAATACATTAGTGATCTTTAGTTCTCAGATAAAATAGGGACTTCGTTCCCCAACTTACCATTTTGCATTTTCTCTGTTAACACGTAAGTCAGTGCCTGGGTGGAGAGTGGTTCTGTGCATCGGCTCTTCAGTCCAAAGAAGCTGACTTGGGTCTAAGGCAGAGACGGGCAAGTCAGCCCCAATGCTGACCAGGACAACTGGAGTGTCTGAGGCAGTAATGCATTGGTCTTCAAGAGGGAGAGGAGGGGCGGGAGGAGAAGGTGCGGGAGCCACAGGGGATGGAGGGGCCGTGGACTTGGATTTGCCTGTGTTCTGTTCCTCAGCTCCAGGGACAGTCTGTTCGAGTTTGAGACTCTCCACTCTGGTCTCTGAAGGCTCTCCTTTCAGGTTGGATGTGCCAGAAGTGGTTGTGTCTGAGGACAGGTGAGAAGTCGTTGCCTGCTTGCCAGTTTTTTTCTTGCCCTTGGTGGTCCCCGCTGTCCCTGTTTTGCCAGAAACTGTCTCCTTTGAAGCTTTGGGACGAGATGAGGTGGATGAAGTGGATGGCGAAGCTGATGCTTTAGAGCCAGTTTGTTTTTTTGAATGAGAGGAGCCAGCTACAACAGAGAGACTTTGCATTAAAAAAATCAAATACAATGCTTTTTTAAAATAAAGTAACTAAGATGTAACTGTCAACAACATTTAAAATGTTCCCTTTAAAATCTGTCGAATAAATGAATAAGAGAAAATAGACTAATAAAGATAATGGTCTTGTCTTCTGTCCCTCCCGTCCTACAATCCGGCAAGGAGTAAGTGATGTTTACGGCAAAACTTGGAGGAACAGGAACCCTCTGCCTTCTCCCACCCGTAGTCTAGCTGAGCCAGCCAAAGGGAGAAACCTCTGCTCCTTGTCTATGGGTCACTTGAGAAAGCCCAGTCTGCTCTCAAGAAGGAATGTTATGGTATGCAGAGGACAGACATCAGCAGCTAGCTGAGGGCAGCACACAGCTGGGCTCATCATAAATTATACATGTTCTATTATGTCTTTCTAGGAATACAGTGGTGGCCCGTATTCAGAAGAGGCTTGGGGTATATATCCAGCTCCTTTCTGGGTCAAAAACAAAATCAGTCATCTTACTGCTAAAAGAGTAAAACGCAATCCAGCTGTTCCCTTAGCTCCAGAGAAGGAAGCTCGCCATGCTGGCCTCTACTTCCGTCTGCAGCAGAGACGGGGCAAAGGGAAAACCTGTGGCCACACAGGGAAGGTATACTCCCTTCAAAACATCAAAAGCCTGGAAAAAAACTTTTTTACAAAATATATTTACATGGGTTGCTCCTAGTTTCTTTTTTTTGAGACAGGGTCTTGTTCTGTCAACCAGGCTGGAGTGCAGTGGTGTAATCTTGGCTCCCTACAACCTCCGCTTCCTAGTCTTAGGTGAACCTCCGGCCTCAGCCACCTGAGTAGCTGGAACTACAGGTGTGTGCCACCATGCCCAGCTAATTTTTAACATATTACTGTTAAGACAGGGTTTTGTCATGTTGCCCAGGCTGGTCTTGAACTCCTGGGCTCAAGGGATCCATCCACCTGAGCCTCGCAAAGTGAGAGGCTTTGGTGACTCCAAAGGATTATAGGCATGAGCCACCATGCCTGGTCCTAAATAATGTGAAGGGAAAGAATATCATTCTCAGGTCTTCTGACCCCACTTTCACAAATGTAATCTTCCTTAATGCTTAAGTTTCCAGAAGATCTTCATCGGAGGATCGCCACAGTATATTTGCCTACTTCCAGATAGGGCACCCTCAACCAAAACAGTTTCAGAACAAAAAGATTAACTACTCTTTTCTTTATGTCATCTCAGTAAACACATGATGATAAAATAAACTCCTATGAGAATACTCTTCTGTTTCATGACTTTTATGACCTATAAATTTCTTGTAATGGCTTCTTCTGTTATCATGTTGTAAGTTCCTTCTTTTCATGAGGGTTCAACTATCTTTCATAGAACGATTAGAAAATACCCTGTTAGTATCATGAAGCCAATCCACACTGTATACAGATGTTATTGTAACTTACCTCTGGTTATGACTTTATTGAAGTCAGTTGGGAGGGTGAAGAGATGAAGAATAAATAAAAGAATAGACAATGAGATGTAAGACTTCATTAATTCTGATTAGACTGATAACAAAGAAGCCAGTCTCATTCAGTGACAGGTTCCAGGCTTAAAAGGAGTCCCTATGGTTTTGGGGTCTTTATGGTTTAAGATATACATAAGTAGAACTCTTCTTCCCCAGATCTAAACCTGTTAATACATCTTTATAGAAAACAACCTTCCCTAGCCTAGAAGTCAAACACATTAAGCATACTCCTTCAATCTACGTCCATTCTACATTTACTTTTCACAACAAAGACGCTAAGGATTTGGTGCCTAACCATGTTCAATTATTTTCTTAGGTAAGTTAAACAGAATTCTTTCCACATATCAATTCTAATAATTTGTAAAGGAAATTCTTTTCTTTTTGGAAACAGAGTCTCACTCTGTTACTCAGGCTAGAGTGGAGTGGCACAAGCTCGGCTCACTGCAACCTCTGTCTCCCGGGTTCAAGTGATTCTCCTGCCTCAGCCTCCCAAGTAGCTGGGATTACAGGCACCTGCCACCATGCCTGGGTAATTTTTGTATTTTTAGTAGAGGGGCTTCAGCATGTTGGACAGGCTAGTCTCGAACTCCTGACCTCAGGTGATCTGCCTGCCTCAGCCTCCCAAAGTGCTGAGATTACAAGCGTGAGCCACAATGACCGGCCAAGAAAATTCTTTCATCGTTAACAGGAAAGTTAATTTTAGTTTGGCTTGAGAAAAAAGATGTATTTTTTTGCAATGCTCAGAGTGCAAATTCAAGCCACATTATAGTTTTTTTTTTTTTTTTTTTTTTTTTTTTTTTTTTTAAGAACCATCTTAAATGACAGGTCTTTGTTGAAATTTAAGTTACCTTGAATTAAAGGAATAATAAAAATATGCCACCTCTCTTCTGTTAAGTACGTTTGTTGTTAATAATGTGTAACAATGAGAAACAAAAATCAAGGAGATTTACCCCTACTTCCCTGGCAAAGAAGCTGAATGTTCTAAAACCGCTATCTGGGCAGCTGGAGGTCTATACTAACTTAATAATAGAGAAAGAATCTTAACTGACGGCTGCTTTAAGAACTTTTATCATTGGATTGAACATCAAGAGCTGCATTTGAAAAAACTTTTCTGGAAGGTCCATATTACTCAAATAAAACAAAGTTACCATGCAGAAAGTTCTAAATGGTTACAAATGGAGTATCAGTAGCATCATAAAGGGATATTATCAGTATTGGATAAAACGATTGTTACATGATGGGCTTGTTGGTGTACTTAAATGCAACCCCGTTTCTCTGTGATAGCCTCTAAAAAGGTCGGGCCTTTTACAATACAATGAATAAAATGACTGTGCTCTTCTCTTAGGAACATCATGAATGCCTAAATCAATCTTCAAACAAAATATCTGGAAAAAAACCTCAAAATCGTTCATGAAAGCTGCTCCCTGTCCTTGTGTGAATCATTGGCTTTCTTCTCAGGGAAGTAAGGAGAGTCCAAGCCGAGTTCAGAGTGAGCCACTACCACGTGGAGAATGGGAAAGTGGAGAAGCTAGTGCAAGACAGGAGCTTAATTCCCAATGACAGCGTGATCGTGTGGGGCTGTTCTTTAGGAAATAGATCAGTGCCTGCCTTACTTTAAGCAATGCTCCTAGGGTTTGCTAGGAAGTCTGGAAAACACACACAGATCCCGACATGAACAGACACTGATGGGTGAGGACAGCTGGCACCTGAGGCGATGGCCACTGGGCACTGTTGGCACATCATTCTGAGACATTTCAGTTTAGAGCTTATTAGAAGAGACCCAGACACTAAAGGTCAAAGGCAGGAAGGGTGGAGCACAGGGAGAGGGACGCCTACTGGCATTCAGGGATCTGTTATACTGTCAACTAAACTGCTCTCTGAGTTTGAGCATTAAGGGCATACATTATGAGGGGAAAAGATCAACACCAAGGCAAATCCTGGCAGACAACTGCTAGAAAGTTGCTGTTGATTTTAAGGACAATAAGGTTTTTTTTGAGATGGAGTCTCACTCCATCGCCCAGGCTGGAGTGCAGTGGCACGATCTGAGCTCACTGCAACTTCTGCCTCCTGAGTTCAAGCGATTCTCCTGCCTCAGTCTCCCAAGTAGCTGGGATTAGAGGTGTGCACCACCATGTCCAGGTAATTTTTGTATTTTTAGCAGAGGCGGCACTGCACCATGTAGACCAGGCTGGTCTCAAACTCTTGACCTCAAGTGATCGACCTGAGTCAGCCTCCCAAAGTGCTGGGATTACAGGTGCAAGCCACCAGCCCTGGCCTGATTAATGACCTTTTAAAAGATAAATCGCATGGTAGGCATCTTTATTCTTCTTTACTAGAAAAATGGGAGTTTCTACTTTGCACTGAGCATATCTGATTGTAAAGCAAAGCTGGATACGTATTGCATAAAGTTATTGCAGGTCACTCAAACATCCACTGGGATCTGTAACAGCAACTTATAACCACAGGACACCAGGATGCTTTGCTTTAGAACACGCAAGTCTGCAGGGAAGGCATGTAGCACTGAGAATGTAACTTTCAGCTCCACTGAAATAGTTTTGACCGCAGTAGAAAGTGGTGGGGTGGAACTGAAACAGGTCATATGAACCCTTTTTTCATTTATCAGGAGGGAGAAGACGATGGATGCTGAGGATTTAACACATTAACATCCAGCAAACGTATCAAAGTTATAATTGTCACATTCTTACATGCAAACCTAAGATATTTTGAAAGAAAATCCAAGCCAAAAAGCCATCCATAAACTCATATAGGTAGAAGGTCAGTCAATGTCTAAATAATGTCATCAGTACATCAGATCATTGTCATCCACCGGGCATACTACTCCAAGTATCCTTCAACTGGTGCTGATAGTGGATACTCAAACCAGTACATTCTCTCCAAAGCTAATGAGATGAACTCTTCAATGGGTTGATGGTCCTTTGGTAGATAGCAACAAAGGAATCTCCTGGGCATTTTTTGTGTCAAAGCTCAATCTGCTGGTGTAAGGTCCTAAGACACCAAAGCCCATCACACCTAGAAGAAACAATTAGCCCCATCCCAGAGCCAAGCACCCTAGAAGTGACCCCACAGGACACTGGGGGCATACTCACCAGCCTCTCGGGTTGTGTTTCGGCTTGTTGGCTTGGGTGGAGGGACGGGGGTCTGCTTACCAGGAGCCTTGGTATTTTTTTTAATGGGAGGCACTTCGTCACCTTTGTGGCTGGCCCCAGCAGTGGCCCCTTTCGGAGGCACAGGTGATTTTTTGGGTTTAGGTTTGGGTCTAGGCTTAGGAGGAGCAGAAGGAGGTAGAGCAGGAGCTGCCGGTGTTTCAGAGTGGTTTTCAGTGTTCTCTATAAATGAGAAAGTGAACAGAAGCAGACTGATACAGACACACACCATATAAACACGAGGAGCACGACGTGACGATAGTGACACAAAGTGTGGCTGCTTGGCACCTGGAAACCAGCATGGAGTTCTGCACCAG